TTTCGCATGCGTGTAAGGGCTGAGTCAACTGCAAATTCGGGTACTCCGAAGGTAAAGAACGTTTGATTTATAATCACCAATAGACAATGTGACATTTCACATCTTTCTAGAGGAAAATTTGCAGATATAATTGTCGACGGATGGTGTAATATAGTACTCCTTCGATGCATAAACACATGTCTAGCTTCTATCTTCACAAGTGCGCATGCTCCTAAAGCATGATGTAACTATTACGTCATTACATCCCTTTAAACCTTTAGTTTTTGCATTCACTATAACTGTTTGTGATTAACTAATATCAACCTGAAAGTTCCTATGATGTCTTATTTTAAAGTTCATTTATGATGACTTCTTAGACAATTAAAGTTCATTATAAATGTTTTACTTATCAGACTGTTTATATCCAAAGTAGGCTGGTGGTTTTGTTTTCCTTTTCGGGCGTTCATTGGTGTTCTGCTTGCTCGGCCGTTCTTCCTTATCTGCTGGGTTATCTGTTTCACCTTTCTTTTCTTTAAACTTTTTAAAATGTGATGAGTTCCGAGTGACTTGGCGATTGTCATTTGACGCTGTAATCATCGATCCTTTCTTCTTAACAATTTGGTATTTCTGATGTTCGTAAGGGGTCTGCAATTTACCTTTCTTTGAGTTTCTCAGCAGGACTGCATCACCGACTTTTAATTCAGAGGATTTGGCTTTGTTTCGTCAAAGTGGACCTTGTTCTTTTGTCTTGACTTACATGATGCATCAAGTGCTTGTTGATGGTTTGGGTCAGCTGGTGCTATAGTTTGTGACTGGGGTAACTTGACATTTATGGCACGATTGAATAGCAAGGTTGCAGGAGCCTGGTGGGTTATACTATGGGGCGTAGCTCGGTAGTTTCTGAGGAAGGTAAACAAGTTTTGTTTCCAAGACCTGCCTTCAACTTTGGCAGTTCTAGCTGTTTTCTATAACGTTCTCATAAATCGTTCGGCTTCTCCCTTTGCCTGAGGCCAATAGGGCGTTATACGCTGATGTTGGAAACCAAGTTAATTAGCAAACTGTTTGAATTCTGTACTATTAAATGGGGCGCCATTGTCCCATTTAATTGTTCTGGGAATTCCGTGAGGAGCAAAGATTTTATCAAGACAGGGAATAACAATTGTATGGGCTACTGTTCTAATAATATCTACTTCGGGATATCGTGAGTAGTCATCAATCAATACAAGTAATTATAAGTACTCACCACTGGGAAACGGGCCGCAAAAATCAATTGATACACTTTCCCATGGATTCTTGCTAGCTTAGGCATACGTAATGGTTCAATGTTGCTTGTGTTTGTTGTGACTTGACCAGACCTTCTCACGTAAGAGTTGTTTTGTCCGTGATATACCTTGATGGCCTTCGTGTGCGAGGTCTATCACATGGTTTTGAAGTGTACTTGGTATGACTATGCGGGTTGGTACCCGAGAGGAGACTTTGATCACTGGCTAGGGCTGGCCGATTACAGGTATTTCGCCAAATTAATTAATTGGCAAATATTTATCCGAATATTATTTACTGTTAGCATGAAACAGCCGCATATTAATTTACTGGCAAATTATAAACCATTTCACAAATGAAATATTTGAATTCAGAAGTTAATACTTTTAGACATATAAATAATAAATTAACAGAAATAGTTCCCATGTCACATGCATGTGTCATGTATGTTTATGCATTTCATCATACAGATTGGAAACTGGCAAAATTGGACCTCAAAATATCGCATTTCAAATATTATAACACGCTATAATTTGCAGCAGTAGCAACACAATATGAAGATAACACACAATGTTTTGAAATGATTTAATTTAAAAGAATATAAAAACTATTTGTTAACAAAGCAATATCAACGAGAGTTCACTGTTCGATGTTTTTCATAAACCCGAAAAACCAACATGGTCTCCAATTAAACACGTGACCACTTAACTAATAAAACAAATCGGAAGTCCGTAATGTTTATCTTATATAAAGTTTACGAGTGTATACTTTCAACACTCCTGCTCACTCGTATAACTGTATGTTCATTTGTAACTAACTCCGAGCATCTTTCTAAGTTTGGTAAACTGAACAACACTTAGTCCCTTAGTAAAAATGTCAGCGATCATTTCTTCAGTGCTACAGTATTCCAGTTTAACTGCAGCACTAGCAACATGTTCTCGAATAAAATGATACTTTATATCAATGTGTTTTGCACGTTCATGGTACTGTGCATTCTTTGCCATACAGATTGCTGCTTGATTATCTTCAAGTATCAACATTGGACCGGTTGGCTTGCTTTTTAGATCACTTAGAAGTTGTTGTAGCCAAACAGCTTCTTGGATTGCACTTGCCAATGCCATGTATTCTGCTTCAGCAGTCGAGAGAGCCACACATGACTGTTTTTTGCTTCGCCAACTGATAGCTGCGTTGCTTATCTGGAAGACATATCCCAACACATGAAGTCGTTGTCTTGCTTCCATCATAAAGTAAACCCATATCTCGAGTTCCATTCAGATAACGCATGATACGTTTAACAGCAATCCAATGCTCCTCCGTTGGATCAGCACTGAACCTTGCTACATCGCTCACGGAATATGCGATGTCTGGTCTTGTTTTCGTGGACAGATAAAGTAGATGTCCAACGGCACACTGGTAGTTAACTTG